TCCGTAATTACTTGTTTTGGAGAACTCAGTTGATTCCCTTTCTAGACGGACATGACTTGTTAGGCTATGACGACAGGACTTTTCCATGCCCGGCGGCTCCTTCACCGGCGGCGTCAGCGGAGGCGGATGGTGCTTCTGGTTCGTCTTTGGCTTTGACGCAACGTCAGTGGTGTCGGAATGACCGGGCCATACTGTCGTTGTTGATCTCTTCCTTGTCGGAGGAGACGTTGCATCTTGCAGTTGGCCGGACTACTTCCTGGCAACTCTGGACGACGGTTGAGTAGTCGTTGGGCTCGTACGTTGCGGCTGCTTGGCGAGTTACAGAACTTGCTGCAAGGCGAGGCTTCCATCTCCGATTTCTAGTCTCATCCTTTGTCCCCTTGTGTGCCCCCCCCCCCCCCCCCCCCCCCCCCCCGAAAAAAAAAAAAACAAAAAAGCAATTCACGGTCCGTGTGCTGCACATTTGCTCACATGTGTGTGCTGTTCATGGTTCATGTGCGGCACATCCACTGGGTGCGTTCATAGGCTCCAATTTTTTTTTTTTTGAATTTTGCTGACATCTCGTTGCTCTTTTTTTTTTTTTTTTTTAACGTCATTATCGCATTTTCTCTTTCATAATCACACTTACAAAAACTTCTCAAAACCTCCACTATTGAAGATGCCCTAACTTCATTGATATTTGAGTTTTTTTTTTTTTTTTTTTTTTTTTTTGTTATTGTATGTTTTTTTTTTTTTTTTTTAAAAAAAAAATCTCTCATTACCTATTTTGAATAAATATAATTATGTGAAATTTCATCTCTTTATTTAAACACATTTAAATTCACTCTTTCTTGATTAAAATTGTTACTCCAACACTATATGAATAACAAAATGTACAGTTTGATATTTAGTCTTGAAATTAAATTGACTCAATTTATTTATTTATGGACCTAATTATAGGTTCATAGAATCAAAATAAAACTTAGAGAAATCAGAAAACCTGACTTATAAAACAAATGAATTGAGAAATTTTGTGCAGGTGGAGCAGGGAGTGGCGGAGCACTGGTGCAGGTGGTTATGAATACATATAATTGAAAACAAAATAACTGTTGCAAAAAAAAAAAAAAAACATATATCTTTGGTTTTTAAATATAATAAAAAGTAGGAGCAATCCTACTAAGCAAGGGCTGCCTCCACCTTCTTCTGTAATTTTAAAAAATTCGTTTAAATTTTTTTTAAAAAAATGATAATTAAAATAATTTTGTATATATAATTTGACATTATGACATCATATCACTGCCGGAAATTATAAAATTTCTAACCACTTAAAAGTGATCTTAAATCAAATCGAAAGTAAAAAGTGGTCGGAAATAGCAATAAAGGTTTTTGGGATGCCAAAAGTGGTCGGAACAAGGTTTTCGACTTAATTTAAGATCACTTTCAGGTTATCGGAAATTCCATAATTTCCAACAGTGTATTTAAGGGAAACTTGAAAGTACCCTGTAAAAATGCTATTTGCACAATTTTTGAGTTTTTAATAGTTTAATTGTTCACTTTTTTCGTTCGAATAGTTCAATTGCACAATGTTTAAAAGTTTAACGGTTTATTTGACATTTTTTAAAATGAAATGATTTCCTTTAAGAAAGAAATTGCTAATCATTTGGGGTGTTTTACCCAAAAGTGAAAGATATTGTGATCAAGGTGGTCCTTTCTTTTCTACATTCCTCTCTTCTCGGGAGATGAAAGAGAAGTGCTTTTGGAGGTGTCCAGTTGTCCACTGCTAGATGTACTAAAGTTTGCTTTGAAAATGGCAATATGCTTCTGAAAAAGTGGAGAGTCCCATGAGAGTGAACAGAACTTGTTTGAAATGTTAGAAAACCTTTAAGAAATAGCATAGTGTGATGTCTTGTAGATCTGCTCCTCTAATACAACCTTGAGGTTCACTCTATATGGATTAATCTGTTGAAATCTCATTGGTAAAACTCAAATAATAATTCTATAGAAAGATTATTATTTTATGGAAGGAAAGAAAAGAAAAGGGTGAAGAGATATGGCTCGTGTTTGGTGTAGGTTTTTAGCACGAGTCGAGCGACTACTCTTTTTTTAAAATAAGACATCACTACCAAACATTGACGGGTGAGAGAGAGCCAAGTCTTAAAAGAGCTCTTGTATAAATAGTGGTGCAAATCCACTTCGAATACCAATATGGGACAAAAGCTTCACTTTTTCCCTTCTTTTTCCAACTCAAATGGGTGTACTTTGAGAATCAATATATCATTCACCCATTATCCGTTTTGAGCGTACAATATATCAATCTCTTCGTCTCACTACGAAGAACCCGAATCCACTTTGACCCGACCCAAATCGAAAGTGAACCCCACTGATAATTGTACCACAAAATAACCACTTAATATGTCATTTTATGTCATTTTAAGCTATTTTTTTTCAACATGATCTTCTTCGAGTTAAGAGCTAAACTTCATAAAATGGGGGAGAAGAGACATAGTTGTAGTGCTTCGAGTGACACCCTACTCCATAAAAAGGGATAAGAGATGAGATTGCCACAAGACAAATTAATGGCCATGTTTGGTAAATGGCTGTTAGCTGTAAGCTGATAGCTGATTAGGTTAATTGGAGGGTATAACTAGTTGATAACATTAATTGATTGCAGGAATGTGTTTGGTAAATTAGCTGTTAGCTGATAGCAGCTTGGTATAATTTCTTTTAAAGTTAATTGAAAAAGCTACTTTTAGCAGTTTTTTGAATTTTAGCATTTTGAAATTGATTTTTTAACCAAGTCAAACAATTAATATTGGTCAAATAAGTCAAAATTGACTAATAGACTAATATTTTACCAAACAGGGCAATATATGTTTTGTTTTTAAAAAAAAAAACACTTAAAACCACTGTAATGTACGATTTCTGAGTTTTTTTTTTTTTTCCCACATAAGGTAAAAACTAAATTCTTTTTTTTTTTTTTTTTTTTATATATACTTGATATATATATATCAAACTGATGATGTGTTTCTATTCACAAAATGATCATTTTTTGCTTGTGCACTTGTGCATAAAGTAATTGATAGTCTATAAATTGTAGAGTGTATTCTTGAATAATAATTGCTTTAAATGTATGTGATTGTGCTTTATTATAAAGTATAAGATATATTGTGATTGATTAACCACATTTGAAGTAAAGTATTGATACCTCTCCACTTTTTTAAGTTTGACATGGGTATAAATGCAATGGAGAATGAGAGAAGTGGGTGTAGCAGTTTTGCAGCAGTTCGATCTGTTGAGCATATAGCATGAAATTAAAGGCGGCAGATGAGATGAGAGATGAGTCCTGGCCTCCATGACTATGAGCATTGAGCAATGGGCTTTGCTAGCTTCGTTGCGGAGGCAGCTGGTACCAATGTGTAGCAATGAGAGTGGCATGATCGAAGCAAGTTTTGGCATCCCGCGCTACCAGGTGGCTCAGATATTAATGCCAACTCAATCCCATTATCATTTCTCAATCCCATTGCATGGTTTTGAGCATAGGCTTGGCATTGAAATCTCTGCCATCGGGTGGGTTCGCGTGCTGCCAAAACTTGTTCCATCATCACACTCTCAATGCCAGGCGTGGCCCCTAGCTGCCTCCTCACCGGAGCTGCCAAAGTCCACCCATTTAATTTCTTTCTGCAGTACTAGTAGATCGGAATTGAATTTCTGGTTGCAAATTAAATTAAAGCTAGTTTCTTTTGTGTATGTATAGTTTCTGATCTTTTGATGGTGACACACATCTCCATTGTTTTTAGCTTCAAGAATGTCTACTTATGAACTACTCCTTTCTGGAATGCTTGTATCACAAATATGTTGAATGTATCCCTTCTGAGTGTAATAACAGTTGCGCTTTTTGCTTTAAACTTCTTCACTACAATATATATATATATATATATATATATATAATCTTTTCCCCTGCACTTCACTTGACATATATAGACACACACATATATTCATTCAAAGTGTATATATATACAGACACACACATACATCATAAATTCATAACAATTAAGTAAACACACAGACAGGGATCGGATTATTATATTAATGATGTTCCCTGGCCTCATGCCTTTTGCTACAAATTTGGACTAGGTTATCAATCATTTCTTTAGGCATGCCTATACTTGACCGAAGCAAGCAAGACTACCCATTTTTCCTGGAAAACTTGCAACTCCATCTGAGATATTAATCTCATATAAAATAACTTCTACATGTAAAGTGAGGAGAAATTGCAACAGGAAAGTTAAAAGTATAATGAATTGATTGAATATAATATAAGTGGAGATCAGAGTTATCACCCTTTGTTTGGTAGATCCATTAGAGAGAGCTGAGATTGGGGAAGTGTATTCACTTCCTACAAACCCTCTAGTTGATCTACACTTGGGTATAACTCTCATCATATGTCCTGATTTTATTGGTGAAAGAAAAAAAATACTATGACACCCGAATGTCTTAATCAGAATCTATGACATGAGTTATATTAGGGAAACCCTAGTTAAGTTGGTCAGACAATTGACTTAGTAACAAGTTTGACTCCTAGTGAGAGCTGCGCGACCTATTGACCTTCTTGGTTTTAACCAATTGGTCTTCTGCCTGCTAGCTAGGGTCACACGGTGACATTTACCTAGTGGATTCTTGAGTAGTGATTGCGTATTTTTCTCACTCTAAAAAAAAAAAAAAAAAGTCCATGTGAAGTAGGTATTATTACTTGAGTGATAGAATGGCAACACCTTCCCTTTACGCCAGACTGTCCCCAAAAGAAAAAGCTAGCTAAAGGCAACACCATCCGGCTTCCAAAGTACAGCTGATGGCATAAGAAATGGCAGCCACCATCATTCATACACTTTGCAGTATTCCATTCAACAAACTACAAGTTAAGCAAAGTACCAAATTAAAGAAGTTGATCATTACACTTCTCACTTTATTCCATTTCCTACTATACCTATACCTAATATAAATTATATCCATGCATCACAAAAGCTATCTAGCTAGTCGACTAGTTGATTTGTCTAGCATATCATCGCAATGTCTCAAACACATCCCGACGAGGCCACAATTATAAAACAAATTCGTGAGACTCATAAACCAGATGGCCGCAACATTAATGTTGGAAGTACTTTTGATGTTGTTCACAACATTCTCAGCAGCCAGACGGTTTGTCAACTTGCTTAATTGCATGCTATATATATCCTTAATATTACTGTTTTTGTGCACCAACTTTACACAAACAGTACGTTATGAATGATTGCAGGCTACAGGGAAAACCATGGAAGAACAACTTCATCAACCGGATCATGATACAATGGAAATTCTGTTCAAAATAAAAGAACTTTCCTACCAGGTTGTTCAGCTTAGCTTGCATCTATCTAGTTTTGAATGAAACAGAGAATGATGTGTTGGGCGGAGGCCTGAAGGCCGGGCCAAGTCCAGCACCAGCGGATTGTTGGGCGGAGGCCTGAATGGCCAAGTCCAGCATCATATCATGCCTTTCGAAATGTGGCACTGGTGCTATATATGCAAGTATACAGAAATAAAGTTACGTTGCACATTCGTTACGTACTAATTACAGTTTTGGCGTGCGGGTAAGTGCTATGCAGTTATTACTGGGAGATTGTTGGGTAGAGGCCTTTCGAAATGTAGTGCTAGCTGGCTACTAGCTATATATGATTTTTGGTTTACTGGTATGTGCTTGATCAGAACACTACATACATACGATGTTTCAACTAAAATTGTACGTTCTATTGTGGTTTTGATCGATCGATTAGATGACATCCAAGTGGTCAAGAGATGGGGATGTTCATGGGATGACAATTAATCTGTTGAACATGTTGTCACCTTATGAATGGGAAGCCAAAGCAGTGATGATCCTAGCAGCGTTTGCCAACAACCATGGAGACCAATGCATTCTAAGCAAAGTGTCAAACAGGAATGGGTTAGCCAAAAGAGTGTGGCTTCTCAAGCAAATTAGTGGCACAAAAACAACCTCGGAGAGTGATGTGGAATCATCAATCAAGTCTTTCTTGAAACTCACAAAGATTATGTTGGAGCTCAAAGAATGTCCACCACAATTCATTCCACAATACCTTCACTCTGATCTCCAACCAAAGGCTATTGCCCACATCACTCAAGCTGTTCTTGTTTGGGCATCGCAGCTCAACACCTCTGGTTCCAAGTAAGATTTAATGATAACGCTAAATGCACGTACTCAATAATGTATATTTGCGACTTTATTTGATTAATTCATTTTGTTGTTATTTCCTCAGAACTCCAGCTGAACCGTTGAAGCTACTGAAGGAGCTTCAAGATACACTCAATGACTGCCATAAGAAAATAGGTTGGTTGGAAATTTAATATATATAATGGTACTATTTTACATGTGCATAAACAACTCAAGAAATTAAATTGGAATCACAGTTTTGGTTATTTTAGAAAAATTCAGAATCTATCTATGATGCTTTGATTTCTGAAGTATCTTGAAACAATTCATAGGATTTAGATAAATCGTCTACACATAAAGTACTGTTTTGATGGAACTAATTGAAACAGGTTTGGATCAAACAATTCCAAGTAATGACTAAGAACAAAATAACGAAAATAACATAAAAGAAATAACAAGAATAGTTGTGCAATTGATTCTTGAATAGCTAATGTATTACAAGAATGATGTTATGATAAGACAAAATGTGTCCTCACTAAGACAAGGAGTATATTATTTAAATTAGTCTATCTATCTAACTCCCCACAAATAGGGAGCTCCACAAGACTAGGTCTTCGAGCCCCCAATTGACACGCTACTCGAGACCCAGAAGCTAACCCCATAGGCCGGCCAACCCGAAGCCGACTAGGAGGCAACCCCGAAAGCTGACCTCGTCCGCCGACCATCTTCATGGCCTCCGTTTCTTATTGTGGTCGGCCTATGTGACTAAGCCCAAGGTCAGCCCTTAGACGGAATCGTAAACTGATACAACCTCAACTTTCTTAGGTAATCTTTGAATAACTTGGAATTTCCCGAGTACATTTGGAGCTCATGTCGAGTCGATTTGACCTCCCATCTCGGCTGACTCCAAGGTCAGCCCTCAGTCAGATGCTTTGCATGCCTTAGATTTGGGCCACGACTCTTGGACTTAAAAGTTTAGCTGGACTAATATATCTATCATATTTATTGTATTATTCATTTATTAGTATATAGTATTCTCATGCATGTTTGTTGGCGCAGAGGAGAAGGAGATACAAGAATCTTATGAAGCATTAAAACTTGCTTTTTCTGGGACGGACCACTCCGACAACAAACACGTTTTAAAGTTGATGTTTAACGTCAAGGATGAACAGAAGATCATGCCACTTAAAAATGGTGAAACTAAAGCGGAGGTACGACCGTAGATACGGAATATTACCTACAAATGTGATGAATATTTACTTCAAAAACAATGATTATCAGCTTATTGACGTGCTGATATATGTAATTCATTGTGGGAATTGCAGGTGAAGGTAGATGACTTACAGACAGATAATAATGTGCTGCTGTTAATATCATCAGGATTAGATATCTCAAAGGAGAGGGCAGCATATCTTGGGAAGGTTTACAAAGACTACCATCCGCAGGTAACATCATAGATTTTATCATCAAGATCATTCAATTTGTGCCAACCACAAATATGTATAAAACTAGTCTTATAATGCGACTAGGATCACAAGGTAGCAGGGGCAAATCCAGAGGGGTTAGGGCAATGGGGTAGTTGTCCCACTCACCCACCTCAGTCTCATACTCCCATTTATATATATATATATATATATATATATATATATATATATATAGGCTTATGTTGAAGTGAAAATCTACTTAATGTGAGACTGTACAAACAATAGCATGAGTGCACACATTATATTACATGAATGTGCACTAACTACTTCTAGACATGCCTAGATGATAGTGAAGACGCTATGAGTAGTTAGCGTGCATTCATGTAGTAGATTTTGTGCATTCATGTAGTAAATTTTGTGCACTCATGTAGTTCTCACCCTCTCACTTTAAGCATGATCCATATATGAACGCAACTCTATACGTAGGGTTTATAAATGTTCAGGTGAAAACCTGCTTAACTTGAGATTGTACAAACAATTGCATGAGGGCACACATTGTATTACATGAATGTATACTAACTATTTCCATGCATGTCTGGATGACGTAGAAGATCCTAGGAGTAGTGATTGCTCAAAATAAATAATATATTATTATACATAAAAATTATCAAAAGTTGTGATAGCTCAATTGGTATAGTTAGTGGTTGTTTTTCATGAAAGGTCTAGAGATTGAATTATTTATTCATAATTCTACAATTGTATATTAGTTGTGAAATTTATAATATGCTCGGCCACTGCAAGGTAGGCTCTACTCAATGCACATTCTCGAATAGTGATTGCCAATTTTCCTAGTTACTAAAAAAAAAAAAAAAAAACAACTAATCTTATAATACATTTTTGGTGTTGCCCATCTAGGGTCATGAAATGATCTGGATTCCTGTTGTGAATGCTCCAAACAAGTTCTGGACTGCTGAGAAGATGAATGAGTTTGAAAGCTTACGTGCCCTGATGGGTTTCTACGCAGTGAATGATCCAAGACAATCAGTGGGACCAGGAGTGTATAAATATGTTGAGGAGGATTTGTTCCAAGCTGGAGAGAAGGATCTCTTCAGAATTTGTAAGGAGCCAATTGTTGTGGTCCTGGATTATAAGGGGAATTTTGTGCATAAAAATGCAATGGGCATGATATTGGCATGGGGAGCTGACGCTTCCCCTTTTGACACATACAAAGAAGAATGTCTTTGGAGGGTGGAGACTTGGGGAACTGCACTTGTGGCCGGTACCATCGACCCGATTCGCCAATGGGTAAGTATATAAGTAACACTGTAAGTGTTACCCGCATGGGTAACTCAATTGATTTCTGGGTGATAGACTATGGACAAAGATACATGATCGAGTCTTGACAGCAGAAGTGTAGGAGTTTCACACAATGTAGTGAATTCTTTATGGGCACATTATACTGGTATTCAACTCGAGTCTTAGCTGTTGCTCGGTGAGAGTTTCACCTAATGTGGTGGACTCGCTCCTTGTGAGCGCCCGACATTGGTTCTCAAGTACTGACAACTGCAGTGTGAGAGTTTCACCCAATTCAATGTGGTGGACTCCTTGTAAGCATCCGACACTGATCCTTGAGTACTGACAGTTGTATAGTAGTGTGAGAGTTTTATCTAATATGGTAGACTCCTTATGGACAACAACACTGGTCTTCTCATCTAATTACCCACCATTTTTTACCCTTCCATTATCTTGTTGTGGCTCTAAAGTCTAGAGAATTTGGCTATTGAGTCTTAATTTGTTTCACTTATATAACATACCTAGTGTGTGAGGTATCATTATAATATGGTGGGGTAAGATTTGTTTATGAATTTCCTTATATATACACACTTCTAAGTAATAATAAATTATGTAATTAATGCACGTACTCCTTGAGAATTTAATTTGGATTTTATCTTCTTTGCAATGGTTGATCAGATTAATGCAAGCACTACACAAGGAGTGGGGAAGAATTTCATTTTCTTGTATGGAGGGAACAACATTGAATGGGCTCGGGAATTCAATGCCAAGGTAAAATCATCACTTTCATCGGACATTGAACCAAAGATGATATATGTTGGAAAAAACAAGGAGGTAAGATCAAAACTCGGCCCAAGCGAAAGCTTGGATGGCCCCTCCACGTGGCTCTTTTGGGCTCGCTTAAAAAGCATGTTATTGTCAAGGATATACTATCTAAAAAAGACGAGTTCTAAAGATGCAAACGATGAAATTGTGAAAGGACTCAAATCTTTACTTGCTCATGAAGCTCCCGCTGAAATTGGAGGGTGGTCCTTGTTATGCACAAAGGACAAGGTGGTCCGATGTGGTGACGGAGAAAAAATGTTGAAAGTCATGACTGATTACGAAACATGGAAAGGAAATGTGAAGGATAAAGATTTTCACGAGGCATTTGACGAGTACTATAGAAACTTTTCTTTTACTCCGCAACACCAACATTGTTGTGGACTCGAATATCCTTATGAACTTGAAAGCACTATAATTCCTTTTATAAGCATCATCCCAGAGAAGGAGAAATGTCCCGATTGTAGTACGGATATGTACAAACTCATAACTTTCTTATGCTGCCATCAGCATGATGACTATGATGTGGAAGAAGAAAGAGAGGATGATGCAATCAGTAAATAGAAACATTGTGTTTGAACACATCATATCCATAAAAGGCATGTCATGTGTGCTTAGCTTTCTAGCTAATTAATTGTTTTTGGCAGCACAAATACTAAATTTCTATTTTGTGTGTTTTTGTATAGCTGAAAATTCAACTAATTAATAAGCATCTTGTATAAGTTTTAATTTGAATTATTGATGGTGCAGTGCATGTTGGAAAATGGGCTTGTAATCTGTAATACATTTGAAATACAACAAAATATAGAAAACAACAGGGAACAAAAACTGGATCATTTGATATCTTCAGGCGTGTAATAACTTTCCTATAAGCTTTAAATCTCCCTCTATAAAAGCAACAAGGTTCAAGATTTAATCTTATGGGATACAAGAAGATGAATGAAACTCTCAAGTTGCTTCGTTTGAGAATTTCCTGTAGAATTGTAAGCCTGTGAAGTATTTTGGTTTCCTGCAAATTGATTGCCTCCATCAATTGCCTGTTTTCTTTTTCTCTCTGTATTCTTCAGATGTTTCTCCAGATATTTATATAAAATAAATATAGCAGTTAGGAGAAGTTACATGGAAGTTAATTATTTAAATTTAAAACTTAACTTCCATAAGATATATCTTATCTGATATATCAAGCATGGGAAATATATAATTGAATATTATAAATATTCATATCATATGGACCTTCATAGGTTCATGCACTGCATACAAAATAACAAAGTAAAATATATATATATATATATATATTATATATATATATATATATATATATATATATATATATATATATATATATATTATTCAATGCATGTAGAAACCATGCAATGCTACATAATAAATAAATAATATATATTTATACTTTACATGCATGCAGACATATTAAACTCACGAAACCAACAGGAAATGCACAACTTTCGTGTAACCAATATGGAGATAGCATCAATCGCACGAAACACTCCATATTAAAATATATACACTTTCATGTTTCGCCGAAACCAAACCAACAAATTGAGAGGTTATAATGCATCTTTCGTGTAAACAACAAAAGAGAACGAAACCATCTACTCGTTTAAACAATGCAATTATACAACCCGAATCAATCTGAGTACTTTCGGTTTCAACCATACGTAAAATCATATTTCCCATTTTACTTTCTACCAAACTAAAATAATATTTATAACTCCACAACACCAAATATTATTTAAGCTTTTCATGGTAGTCCATCTGAATTATTAATCTCCATTACTATATAAATCTCCAACATTCCTCCTCCATTTATATAGTAAAGACTAATACTTTACCAAGATAAATCCAAAACTCATGCATAAATGAAAGTGTCTTAGAGATTGAACTTTCACTTAGTGTTATATGCGTTACATTAATTCGGATTGCAGTGATGGACGAACCTTGAATCACGCAGTCTCTTTGAAGAAACGTAGATATAACACACACAAGTTTTACAGTCATTACAACTCACTGTAACTTGACACTATAAAGGCCATGTGTCTGTATCCATTAATGAGCACATACCAAGTAAAGCCCAAACTTGTTTGAAGCGGCCACACTTCATGCTCACATAGGCTAATCTTTTATTTCATGCACTGCATCTTGCATTTTTTCAAAAGATCAGAGTAAAAACTCATCCCTACAACAATGCAGAACCAAGCATCACCTTTTCTTTGGATACAATTTTAATTAAACTTTTGATGCTTGCAAATCACAAAATGAAGTACTCATCTACATTGAACTCAAGGTCTAACGTAATAACTTAGACGTGAGTTGAGCTTTCCTTCGCTTGCAATTTTAATTTAGGCTTTCCGTATCCCTTCCGATGAACCATGTCCCTTGCAAGGACTCTTGCAAACGGATCCGTTAAAATAAACCGGGACCGTACAAAGTCCAATGCTAAAACACCATAACTTAGGAGCTCCCGCACATAGCTATATCTCATGCCTATGTGCCTTAACTTGCCATTATAACTTATTGTTATATGCTTTGGCCAGTGTAGTAGCGCTGTCACAATGCACTAAAACTGGTGACATCGATTTTAGCCAAACCGGAATCTCAATAAATAAATTCCTTAGCCAATTAACTTCTTTGCATGCCTAAACCAATGCAATAAATTCAGATGCCATAGTTGAATCTGAAATGCAACTTTGGTTTTTAGAAATCCAGGAAAAAACACCTCCTCCAAGCAGATAAACCCATCCACGAAGTGGAGGAAAACTCTTCCTGATTAGATATAACCGGCATCATAGAATTTTAATATTCAATCAATGAACTTGTGAAATAAAATATTTGATTGATTATACCGAAACCCACTTTATAGGTTCCTTAGTCAATAAATATTTATTTCCTGCAAATTCCATAACTAAGAATTTCAATCACCATGTAATTGAATTCATTAACAGTGAGTGATTCCTTAAATAAAAATTAAACCTCCTCCACTTGGAATACCATCCACTTTGGAGAATAATCATATATTGATAAACCTCCTCCATTCAGAAATATCCATTCACTTTGGAGAATAATCATATATGATTTTAAGCTTTTAACTTTTCATGTTTCTTCTAAACTGAAGAATCATACCTTCTTAAATCATAGTCCATGATTTAAATTAAAACTTTCTTTTCACTGCTAACTGCCAGCCATACTAGATAAACTAGTAAACTTTTTGGCTTTCAATATTTTAACACATTCTCAATATGAGAAACTGTGTGTTAAATACATTCATAAATTTTTATGAATTTCATTATGCATACTTCATGCATAAAAGTTTCTGTATGCCTTTATAAGAAATATAACAGAATATTTCCTAGGCTTTCTGTCTTTATTAGAAATATTAATAACATAATATTTCAAAAACTTTCACAAGGATAAAAACATTTGTGCGCTAAAATACCAATATTTCATGCATAAAAAAAAAATAATTTCATCTTATCATTATGCAACTCTTTATCCATGCAAATGATACCAGAAATATTTACAGCACCAAACTACACCAAATTTGACAAAATACAGCACACCAAGATCCAACATATTATACATGTATCTTGTATATTATGCATGCATCCGAGATAGAGTCTCAATATCAAAATATTTATATACATGCATAAACATATCCTTGTACTGGCAGGCTATGCAAAAACTCAAAAGAATCGTATGCATACCTTCTAGACAGAGACCAGAACTTAACTAGTAAGTAAAATAAAATTTACGTACCTGCCGAGGCCGAGACAAATATAAAGAAGGTAATGTACCGATCTCATCCTCTAACTTGTATCTGCCTTGATAATCCATATCTTCCGGCCTTTGATGTGCTAAAACCACACACCCAATCTAGGGAAGTACACATCTTCTCAAGCCAATTAATTATGGCTAACAAAATGATTTATTTAAATAAAATCATTTTACACATCTCACTAATCATCTTGGCATCACTTGATGCCCCATGATTTTAAGTGAAGATGAAAACAAAAACTGCACAACATGCATTTAATCCACATGTACAACATGTACACAGCATGTCAAGAATAACATGCAAAATCTACAAAGAAATCTTCTTGTACATAAACAAAAGACAAACCAAAAAGTGATTTATGTCATCCTCCCATCACCATATTCGAAAACTCATTCCGAAAAAATTAACGTAATGGGAAACTGTTCTTTCACGCCAGACATCTTGACTTCAGAACTTTCAAGGCAAGACCAATGATCACAGGTTTATAACTCTAAAGCTTATAGATTGTTGGAAAATGGGCTTGTAATCTGTAATACATTTGAAATACAACAAAATATAGAAAACAACAGGGAACAAAAACTGGATCATTTGATATCTTCAGGCGTGTAATAACTTTCCTATAAGCTTTAAATCTCCCTCTATAAAAGCAACAAGGTTCAAGATTTAATCTTATGGGATACAAGAAGATGAATGAAACTCTCAAGTTGCTTCGTTTGAGAATTTCCTGTAGAATTGTAAGCCTGTGAAGTATTTTGGTTTCCTGCAAATTGATTGCCTCCATCAATTGCCTGTTTTCTTTTTCTCTCTGTATTCTTCAGATGTTTCTCCAGATATTTATATAAAATAAATATAGCAGTTAGGAGAAGTTACATGGAAGTTAATTATTTAAATTTAAAACTTAACTTCCATAAGATATATCTTATCTGATATATCAAGCATGGGAAATATATAATTGAATATTATAAATATTCATATCATATGGACCTTCATAGGTTCATGCACTGCATACAAAATAACAAAGTAAAATATATTATATATATATATATATATATATATATATATATATATATATATATATATGTATATTTATTATTCAATGCATGTAGAAACCATGCAATGCTACATAATAAATAAATAATATATATTTATACTTTACATGCATGCAGACATATTAAACCCATGTGAACGAAAGATGCCAATCATTGATATTTATGCATCATGTCTCACGCACGAAACCAACAGGAAATGCACAACTTTCGTGTAACCAATATGGAGATAGCATCAATCGCACGAAACACTCCATATTAAAATATATACACTTTCATGTTTCGCCGAAACCAAACCAACAAATTGAGAGGTTATAATGCATCTTTCGTGTAAACAACAAAAGAGAACGAAACCATCTACTCGTTTAAACAATGCAATTATACAACCCGAATCAATCTGAGTACTTTCGGTTTCAACCATACGTAAAATCATATTTCCCATTTTACTTTCTACCAAACTAAAATAATATTTATAACTCCACAACACCAAATATTATTTAAGCTTTTCATGGTAGTCCATCTGAATTATTAATCTCCATTACTATATAAATCTCCAACAGTGCATGGATGTTTTGGTTCTAACTTTTGTATAAAATAAATTTATGCATACTACTGGCAAGTGGGAACGCCGCCGTGGCTACTTGAGGTGTTTATCTACTCACTACTACAAAATTGAACATAGAAATATAGGGCCGGTTCAAAAAACTAGAAAATTGGAGAATAGAAAACAGAAAACAGAAAACATGTTTATTAGCATAGTTTTTCATTTTGAAAACTGAAAATAATTTTTCAGATACTCTTAAAATATGTTTTCTAAATGAAAAACAGAATCATCTATCATCTATTTGGTTATATGTCACTATAACCACATTACTATGACTGCATTCATTATCATTTTC